ATCGATGCACTCTTGGAAGAATTAAAACACTTGCGCAGAACACAAGTGCATCCACCTATCCAAAATGTACAAGTTGCACAAGCTGCTGATAGGAGACAAATTGAAGATAATGCCGAAGATATTACCAAGAGGGTAAAGGTTGATGCTCTTGATTTGATGGAAGAAGAGATCCTGATTTCTTCCTCAATTGGGTTAAGTTAAAGCAAGAATACTTCAAAAATGGTATAATGTCTAATGCATGAAAAATTCCAAATGCACGATGAAGATAGTTGGGCTCGAAAAGTTATAGTGGTACACTGTTGATGAGCGCATAACAAGGAGAGAAACTGAAAATTGAAACATGGGAAGAGATGAAGGCCGTTCTTCGTGAAAGGTACTTACTTTCCAACTACTTTTATAAACTTTTTAACCAAGCTTTTATTTTAGTTAGGGTAACATGTCAATAATTGAGTACAAATAGAAGTTTGAAGAATTACAAATTTAGAGTCAAGTGGTCAAAGATAGCAGTCAAGCAACACCTTGATTCAAGGCTGGACTAAGAATTGATACTAAAAGAGAGTTAATTCGATAATTTCCTGCGGCTATAACATAAACATATCAAATGATCCTTGATGTGGAAGAATATTTGAAATATCCAATCCCAGGAAACATTATGTTTCCAATTGTGTAATCCACTGCTAAGAATACCTTTGGTTTAAAAAGTGAGCTGAAGAATGGATTAACATCAACTCTGAAAACTCCTGGAGGTGAGGAAGTTACTTGCTTTAGATGTGGATAGAGTGAGCACATGAATTATGAATGTTACAGAGAATGACTTGCATGTTCGAATGAAAGAAGAGGAGAAGGTGCAACAAAGAGATTTTACCTTATGTTACCTCGATATATTAATTAATCTAATTAATTAATTTTGAGATTTAACTTGATAGAAATTCAAAATTAATTAGAATTCATCAAAAATAAAGATCAAATCAAGATCCGAGCAAGATTTGATGCATGATTTGAGATTCAAAATTTATCATTATATTGAATTGGATTTTTAGAAGAACAATTAACTGGGGCTTTTTTGGATTAGGGATTACATAGGAAGGGGTTCAGTTCTAGATGGAGGAAGTAGATGTGATTGTCTCTCCTTGGTTTCTTTTGTACTTATCGTCAATGGAAAGTCTTAATCTTGGTTTAAAGGGTCTAGGTTAGTGAGATAGGGTGATTTGCACTCTTTGTTTCTCATCAAGTTACTGGTGGATGTTCTTAGTCTAATGCTGGCTAAGGGTTTGAGAAAATTGCTATTAGCTTTTTGTATGTGACGCCACATGCCTTAATCCCACCTTCGAATCGGCCTTTCACTGAAAAGTACATTTTTGCTTCTGGCCATACCTAAAGATTCTAAGACATCTTAATAGCTATCCTGTTGCAGCCCTCCCCATACCAGGCATTGGGCATAACTCTTTCACAAAATGTTGTTTGTAAGAATATAACATCACTCTTCATTGACATCCTTAAACTTATGAATCTGTTGATTTCAACCGGTATTTTCCAATATGTTAGAATGCCAAGTTCCCTGACTCTTGGTAAGAGCTGCCATAAATTTTACTACTGGCCTGCCATGTATACCCCTGATCGAGTTCTATAAATACCTCCAAAATTCTTTGGAAAAGGAATTCCGTGGTTCCTTTGTTTCCCACAGACTGTTGATCATTGCTTCCCTTTGCATAAACTCTTGCTTATTTCACATGTTGATTCTAGACCGCAACGCATGCGTTATTCCTCTTTTATGATTCATTACTATCTAGGGTTAGCTTTTATGCTAACTTCTTTTTCATGTCATGATAATCATGTCTCTTGGAACCTCAACCTTTATTGAAATATAAATGACGAAGAATACTTGATTTATTGTATTTGATCTAGAATTTGGCCCCTTGACTTTTTAAGGGCCTATTCTTGTATATCTTTCTTTAATCACCATACCTGTAACCGCAGCCACAATATTATTATTCTGAGAGAATGTTTATTTGAACCAGGGTCCTGAAGGAAATCAATACAATGGTTTGTTTCAGTGCGTAGACCCTAAATTGCTGTTTTCCTTTGCATGTGTTTTGTGTTGATTCATAATTGAGAGTATAGCACTCACTTGTTTCTGCGTCGTGAGGTGGCCCTGGAGCTTTCTCTTTATTTAGGATAATAAGTTGGGTTTTCAAAGGAATACGGAATCTTCCATGCTATGGAGAAGGTCTATACTTGCTACTCTTTGGGTGCTTTGGTTGGACAGAAATGCAAGAATTTTCATCCTGTGTTCTTATACTGGAATCGAATCTAGTTGGGAAATGATTATGTGCTACTCTTTGGGTGCTTTGGTTCCTCTTTCGATTAACAAAGAGGTTGCATGACGATCTTGTATTGGCTCATTATTTTCTCTGTTGTTTTGTTCATTTTTTATGTTTTCTCTTTTATGAAGGGTATCATTCTCTTGGTTGTATTCCCCATTTCTTCTAATGCGATTTCTTTTTCTATAAAAAAAGCTGATCTTTTCCTGCAAATTTAATATGACAATCTTTCTCTGAGTGTAGTCTGTGACTTGCAACTTGTTACTTCATGTAGTGAAGAACTAGGAAATTTTCCAGGGTTTTCGGAAAATTCCGGATCTTCAAATTTTGAAGGTAGTTTAGAAGTTGGGCTAAGTCAATGGAAGGTGCAAGCTGTTGCTGCTTTGAAAGTTGGAGCCAAAGAGCTTCAGTCAATGATTTTAAGGGTACTCTTGCTACTAATCCTCTGGCTTTCTTTTAGTCTGATTCTTTTGATTATTCATTAAATAGATTTAGATATACTTGTTTTTATCTTTCTTTATGTAGGGTGGTGGTATGATCACACTGGCCAAAATTTATCAACTGGTACGGGATTGATTTGTTTGTTTGATATATTTTTGCATTTTTGTCATAGTATTAATGGTTCTTTTTTTCTTGTAGTTAGCAAGAAAGTTTTCTGGAAAGGTATTTTTGGAAGCTGCTAACTATCAGATAAGGAAAGAGATGCTCAAAAAGGTACACGTTTTGGCATCTAAGTTTCTTCTAGAGTTGGGAGTAAATTTTTTTTTAAAACAAAAAGAGAATTAGATTAAGACAGCATCAAACAGTTGTAACCCAAGTACAAGAAGATCTACAAATCAATCAAATTGTTTAACAAGGTCTGCCAAATCCTCAGCAAAACAAGAGGAATAAAATCTGTCAGAGTCCTAATAAGTCAAATATGGCTGAAGAAGAAGCAGTCAAAGTTGCTTCTTTTGATGGAAAGGTTTACAAGCATTTTTACACACAGGGAACAGAAGAATGACAAAGTCAAAGGGTGAAACCAGTTCAGACATATACTTTCACAAAAAAAAAAAGGTTCAGATAGGCTTCCTTGTAATAGTTCTAGGTTGTCTTTATTCTGTCCTATTCTTATGCTGTCCTGCTGGGCTTCTTTGGAATAATTCTAGTTTGTTTTTGTTTAGTGTCCTAGTCTTATGCTATTCATAGTTTTCTTTATGTTCAGTTTTACCCAGTGGTTTATTTCAGTTTTTTATCTTTTTAGTTTATGTAATTGTAGAATTACTGCTTAGAGGCAGTTAATTCTGTAATTGATGATACAAACTCTCGGAGTTCAGAAGTGGATCAGGTAAGAACTTGTTCAAGTAAGAACTTATTCAATTTGTATCATCAATTCTGTAGTTGATGATACAAATTCTTTGGTTCTCTCTAAGAGCCGTTAAATTGTGTCAGAATAGGGAAGAAAGGAAGAAAAGTTGTGAAAAGCTTAATCCTCTTGTAGATTATCCTATTCCTAGACTCATAAACTGATCCTTAAGTAGGGAACCTAACAGCCTAACAACTGATTTTTTTTTTTGAAATAAAAAATATAGTATATATTAACAAGGCACCAAAAACAGGGGGTACCACCTATGTACAAAAGTTTTACAGCCTAATAACCGATCCTTGACTGCTACTATAGCCCATTTACCAAAGCATTCTGGCAAGTCAAGGTTCTTCCGAAGGTGAAGGTGTTCACGTGGACCATAGTTTTAAATCAGTTAAATACCAAAGAGTTGCTTCAATTTCTTAGGCGTGATCAACCTTTGTCTCCAGATATTTATGTGATAGTTTGCCGAGAAAGGTAAACACATGGTCATCTATTCCTCCAATATGAGGTGGCGTGGAGGCTATGGTGAGGAAAAAAGCTCTTGCTTTTTACAAGAAGCGTTTTTGCAGGTGTATAGACAATTTGGTTAGAAAAAGACCGTCGGATATTTGCAATTGATCTTTTCTGGATGTAATCCTATAGGAACAGATGACCTCTTTGGCTTAGGCTCATAAGAAATTCTCTGACATGTTATCTCAAAAAACAAATTATCTGACATCTCTCTTACTGTTTTCTATAGGAATTGGGACACATTAGCCACATGATCAGTTGTCGTTTCTTTTTGTCCTCTCCAATGTTACTTCAATAATTTTCTTTTATTTATATTTCAAAAAAAATTATTTTGTTTTATTACTAACTTTCCTTGCAGCTGGGTATCTTATCTGCTACTTTTTTATTGTTTCCTTTTCTTTCTTAATAATATTCTTTTTATATAAAAAATATAAGAGATAATTTAATTCCTGAATTTTTAAAATTGTTTCAAAAGACACTTTAAGGCAGACAGTGTTAAAATTTTAAAAGGAAAAATCATTACTCTTTAGGTTTTGTTTTGGATGAGTAAATAATAATTTTTAGATAAACATCTCAAGATAATGACACCACCACCACCTTCGGTGGCAACACTAATATTAGCCCATTAACACCACCCCAACCCCAAACCCCCACCACTCTACCATCTAACACCACTCACTGTTTAACCTCTTTCTCCTCTTCCCCTCTCATCTCTCTGTTTACCAAATGAACATAAAAGAGAAAACATCTTCCTTCTCTGTCACTTCTCTTTCTATAGTTTTTACTGCCGAACCCTAAATGATCACTTTGCGATCATCTGATGACTCAACGTTCAGAAGAAGTGCCTTTTCCAACACCATAAAACTTGTGCTCTCTCCAACCTCCTCTTCTCTCTTTTTTGTTCTCCTTTCTTCTTCCTCAACCCTCTCGGTATCCTTCTTTTTACACACTCAAAGAAAAGCTCTCTTTTCTTGGCTCATCCTGTGCAAACCACCCTCCTTTCTCTCTGAATTTCAACTCCCTCTCTCTTAATCTGAAAATTTCACCCCTTGCTCTACTCTCCTGAAATTAGCATCCCTAATATTCCCCCGAGTGCCCCGCACACCCCACCTCCCCCACCCAATCCCCCCTCTTTTCTCCTATTCTTTCTTTTTTGATTAGTCTCTGTTCTCCTCACTTGCTGCCCAGCTCTTTGCTCGAATGATCATTTTCTGATAAAGCTGTTCTAAGATGCAAGCTTGTCCTTGTTGGCTTCTTTTGCTTTTATGCCATGACCACAAGTAACAACTCCTCCCTGCTCTTTGCAAGTTTGTCCATTTTTCCCGTCTTAATTTTAATTAAAGATCAAAATTAGAAAAATAAATAAGCCATGTTATTTTTATTTCCATAAATGTGATATGATAATTATAGAGAATATTGCATGACTTTATCAATAACATAGGTAAATTATTTAATTTTGTTTGATTGTAATAAATATAAATAAAAATTTATCTATTACTAACAAAACGTTATAAGTTTTTGAGGCGTTAAATTTGACTAAATATGAAAACTGATGATATTATTGCATCGAAGGAAAACTTGAAAATAAAATAAAGAAATTAACTAAAAATGCTAAAACAAGTAATGTAAAAATGTAAAAGAAAATGATAAAACAAAAGAATGACGAAGATTCTAAAAAAGGTAGAAAAGAAAAGAAGAAAATTAAATAATTATAAGATTAAATGTAATCAAATAACATAAGAAATAAAAGAAAAGATAAGTTGAAAACTGGAAATAGGAGAAGAATCCGTGGAAAAGAAAAAGAAATATCAATATTGAAATGAAAAAGAGATTAAAAGAAGGAAAATAACAGAAAAGAAAGGTTGCAAAGAAGGAAAAAGAAGTGAAAAAATAAAAAGTAATAATAAAAATAAAATATTGTCCGGTGAGGTCATCTGGCCTCAAAGTTGAAATGGCATGATTATAATTAAATAAAAAATTAGGTAAATAATAAAAAACAATTAGTAATCTGTAAACTTATTAGAAATGAACAAAAATTTAAAAAATTTCTCAAAGTCGCAGTTGACTGTTACTGTTAATATAGACTTCAATTTTGATGTATAGTAAAATTCAATAACTGAAGTGAGATGGTCATCATGGCTCATCTGCTATAGTATAACTGACTCTCTGTTAGGTACCTAAGCTGCTTCTTGGGTTTCATTTTCAGGGTGGACAATTAGCTCTTGCTAATTTGGAATCTGCAGCAGCCTTGCTTGCAGCAAAACAGGTATATCGGCATTGATATAATTTTCTGAAACTTGTTTTGAAGATCTTTCGCTCCCTTTCCCTTTGGTACTTTGATTATTGTCTTGTGAGAGAAAGTATGGTACTGTATGAAAGGCACCATAGGGGTGTCCTACTATATGAGAAATAATACTTCTTAAACAGAGTATATGGAAATGTTCTTATTCTCTTTTTTGTAGTAAAAGAAGAAATATCATTGAAAGGGAAGAGATACGAATCAAGAGGATCAGGTATCCTCCAGCAGAAAACAAAGAAACAAAAGGAGAAAAAGAGAAAGTCTAGCTAAGTATTAGCAAGAATAGCTAGCTACTCTATGCACAAACCTGATAAAGACGTATCTTTAAAACATCTGTTGCCTTTAGCGCAACAGATGCCAAAAATTAAACTTTATTCCGAACAATCATAATAGTCGACTTTGGCTCCCGAAGATGCTTGCATTCCTCTCTAGCCAAATCACCCACTTTTCGGGAAAGGTTGCTCCAATCAAAAGAGAGTAACTCCCTCTTCATTGCTGGACCCATCAAAACCGAAAAGAGGAAGGACTTGACGTTTAGAAGGATAACCCACAAAAAACCAAGGTCCCATTTGGTACGTGGAAAGATTTTATAGTTTTTGTTTTTTAAAATTATATGTATTTTACTTACAAAACTGCACAAGCTAGTGAATAAAGAGAACATTAGTGAAGATAATGATAAAGTTAAAAAACTTTAAAACATTGTTTTTAGTGTTTGTAGAAAACTAATGCTTAATTATTTCACGAATGTGCAACTCTTATATAATTATATGAATGAAAATATGCATAAATACATGAACTTAAAAAAATGAAATTATGCAAAGGTGTTGGCGAAAAGACTCTCTCGAGTTCTTGGGGAGGTTATAGGGGAGTGTCAACATGCTTTTGTTGAGGGGAAACAGATTTTGGAGGCTGTTATGGCCGCTAACGAGGTGGTAGATGATTTATTCGCAAACAAAAGAGATGAGCTGGTATGCAAACTGGATATAGAAAAAGCATATGATCATGTCAGCTGGAATTTTATTGATTACATGCTGTGTAGAATGGGTTTTGGGTCCAAATGGAGGAGTTGGATGAAGACTTGCATCTCCACTACTTCTTTTGTGGTGATTGTTAATGGAAGGCCATCTGATTTTTTTTCTGCTTCCTGTGGGTTACGGCAGGGGGACCCTCTTCTTTTCCCGTTACTATTTATTATAGCAATGGAGGCTCTAAACAGTTTACTTTGCAATGCTAAGGGGCTGAACTTTTTGAAAGGTGTTATGGTTGGGAAAAGGTCGAATGCTCTTGATGTAATACACATTTTCTTTGCAGACGACACCCTCATATTTTGCCATCCGGATATCAGGAACCTATTACACCTGTGATGCATTCTCCATTGTTTTCAGGCCGTTTCTGGACCGAAAATTAGTCTGTTAAAATCTGAACTGGCCAAAATAGGGGGTGAGGGGGATGGCAGCAACTATTCTATGGTTCTGGGTTGTAAACCGGTGGAGTTCCCTTTGAAATATTTAGGGATGCCATTGGGTGCAAAATTTAAAGATAAAAGCATTTGGGAGCTGATTGTTGAATTGTTTGAAAATAGACTTGCGGAATGGAAGAGGAACTTTCTATCCAAGGGAGAGCGTCTCACTTTAATAAAAAACACGTTGGCCAATCTTCCCATGTACTACCTATTGATCCTCACAATTCCTAAAGAAATTGTGAAGAAGCTAGAAATTATACAATGCAAATTTCTTTGGGGGGATGAAGAGGGCTATAGGAATTATCACTTGGTTAGTTGGGAAGATATCAAAAAACCGGTTCACAGGGATGTTTTGGGCATAAGATCCTTAGTCTACATGAACATGGCTCTTCAAGGAAAATGACTTTGGAAGTTCTTGATGGAGGAGAACAAAATGCGGAGGAAAATTGTGTTTGTTCGTTGGGGTGGATCAGATTCGGCTGGTGCTGGGGCAGGTTACAGACCTCACGGGCGTGGTTTGTGGAAGAATATTATGAAACAATTGTTGAGGTTCCTCTCCTGCACCAAATGGCAATTGGGAAAAGGGGACAAAATTAGATTTTGGCAAGACAGGTGGGCTGGTGAGGACAGATTACAGAATATGTTTCCCAGAATTTTTGAGATAGCATATTCAAAAGGTTTGGCGGTGGCTGAAGCATATCGGTTTTGCAATGGCTGTGTCGAATGGTCTGTTAGGGTGAATAGACATTTAAATGACTGGGAAATTAAAGAATATGAAGAGATTTTGCTGATCCTGGAGAACCAAAGTACCAAAGTTGACTCGGACAAGATTATGTGGAATCTTGAGAAAATGAGAAATTTTTCTGTTCAATCATATTATAGGTTCTTGGCTGGTGGGGAAGAGGATGGAAGTCTGGAACTCCCTATTAAGCAAATCTGGAAAACAAAAGTGCCCCTTAGAATGACATTCTTTGCATGGGAAGCCTGTAGGGAAAAGATTCTCACTATTGACAATTTAAGATTGAGGGGGCAGATTATTGCAAACAGGTGCTATTTTTGCATGTGTGCTGAGAAATTATGAAATCACCTTCTTTTATGGTGCCCGGTTGTCTATAACTTATGGAGCATTATTTATGAGCTCTTGGGGATTAGTTGGGTGATTTCTGAAACTGTGAGAGGGGAAATTTGGGCTTGGGATGGGCTTAGTTGCAAGTGTAATGTTGCCAATTTGATTCCATTGACTGTTTTTTGGGTTCTTTGGAAAGAAAGAAATGTTAGAGTTTTTGAAGGAAAAAACTTAGGTTTGTATAAACTAAGAGATAAGTGAATTAACTATTTTGGGACTAGTTTGTTGGGTCATGATATTGTTCGGGATGGGGATTTTGGGGATATCGTTGACATACTAATTACTTTATAAATCTCTATACTTATGGGTCGATACCCTTTTTTTTGGTACCTTGTTAATATACACGCTATATTTTTATTTAAACAAAAAATATTTTTATGTAGCAAATGTAGTCTAAAATTCTCAAGAACATGATTCCAAATTGTCTAGGCCATATTAGAGTGAAGGAAGAGGTGGTAATGAGTTTCAATAACTTCGTAGCATCAGACTCCTGGTGACGAGGCATTATTCAACTTGTGAACTTGAAATATTTCATTAGTATTAAGCTTCCTAGAATGGTATCATAAAGAAAAACTTTTACCTTAAAGTGAGTTGGCCCCTTCCATAAAGACATATGAGGAAGATATTCTGAGTGATAGGATTGTGAATCAAGCAATGTAAATAGGACTTAGCTGAAAAGAAAATACATGAGAACTCAAATAACCAAAATTTGCAATCTAATTTATTGGGAAAAGAATTGTACAAATCCAAAAGATGAAGGATATTGGTCATGTCCATAGTGTCATGGTCATTGAGATCTTTGTATAAAGGGATTCCAAAAATAGGTTCCACTAGAGCGAACCAAAAATGAGGAAATAGGGCAAAACTAATTTCTGGGTAATCTCTTAAGTCTGGGCAAACCATAAGCAAGGGTCTTCCTAGACAAGAAATGAGAACCACTCCGTACCCTCAGTTGAGGTAAGGGTAAAAAAGAAGCATGAAGACTAAAAATTGCCTTCAAGGGGCTCATTTAAGTTCTCAAAACATTTATGTTGGAATTCCATCGATTCTAGTGAAGACCAAATTGACCCCTGTCCTATAAGGACTTTGTCTCTACCCGAAACCTCCATATTCATTTTAGTTATAGAGACAAATCTTTATGACGAGGATTCTTAATGCCAAGGCCAGACAACACCTCTCCCAACTAATTGAATAGTCTCTTTTAAACTCATTCGAGCTTGACTAAAGGAGAGATTTCATCACTCTAAAACTATAGGCCACACCTCTAGGGGATTTTAAAAAGAGAAAGAAAATAAAGGGATATACTAGACATGCATGATTGAATAAGATTGGCTCTCCCTCCTCCAAGAGAACATGACGACTTTCAAGCTCTCAAGACTCTTGGAAATATTAGAAGCAACGAGGCTCAGAAGGAATCGACCCTAGGGTTCCCCTACAAGGGAACATAAAACAAAACTAAAGAGCCAATCTGCCTACATCCTGCAAATTAAGCTAAATCCCACACTTGGTTCCCAAAGTTGATTTTCTTAAGGTCAGTTTTTGTGAGATTAATTGTTAAACCTAAAGTAATCTAAAATATGCAAGATGATAATCCCATGAAAAAAGTTCACAAGGTCATAAAGAAGGAACAAATTGTATCATTAGCAAACTGAAAGTGGGAAACTTCCACTTTATCCTGACCAACCTTAAGACCCTCTATGATCCCTCTCTCTAACCATTTGGGGAGCATACAACTCAAGACATCAACGACAATTGTGAAAGAGAAAGGGGACAATGTGTCTCCTTGCCTTAAACCGTGTTGACGGGAAGAATCTCTAGCCTTGTCATTAATTGTAATTGCGAAAGTAGCATAGCAAAAACATTTTAATCTACCTTCTCCATGTATCTCTAAACCTTTCATGTCTATCTTTTTTCTCAAGAAAAGTTCAATTGAGACGATTGTAAACAATTACAAAGACTAGTCCTACCCAAAGTAATGTTAGAACATATTTAAACTAATTCTTGAAATAATGTTAGACACCCTAAACTAATTTTATAAATCTAGCAATAAAAACTGAATTACCAAAATAATGCTAATCCTAATTAACCTCAAAGTTTGTTTTTTTTTCTTTTTGTCTCTTGCTCCAGGTCAGAAAGGAGTAAGATGGATTTTGATTTAGTGGAGAGTTTAGCTTTTGTTTACTAGTGATTATCTTGAAACGAAACAACGGCACACCCCCCCCCAACCCCCCCCAGCCAATCCCTTCTTTTCCATATAATTTTTGTTTGTAAACATTTATACCATTTGTACATGTTGGCCTTTCATTCTGCTTTCTGGAATATTATTGTTTATGATTAATTTAATAGCAAGAATAATAAGTTGCATATTTTGGATTTGTTTCATTAAGATTGTACAATGAGTCATTTTTTGCATCTAATATTGGTGTTTCCTTATCAACTGTTGATAGGGCTTTGCCGGTGCTGCATCCAGATATTTGGGTTTGAGGAGCATGATGACATTTCTTGGCCCAGTGTAATATACTTATATACCCAAGTGACATATTGTTGCATCACTTACGAACTTTAAACTTTCATATTATATGGTTGGAGTAATTCAACTCTGTCATTGCTTTTTGTTGACTTCGAACACAAATTTTCTCAGTATTGTATTGTTCATTGCTGTTAGTATTCATTGTTTAGATCAAATTAATTAGTTTATTGAGGGTTTATTCACTTTTGGGATTTCATTACTAGATATTATACTTGTATGACATGGTTCTACCATGTAATATGCAAAAAATGATTTCCACACATGCACAGAGATATAGTGTGCATAATTTTATTATTATTTCTTTAATTTTGCATTGGAGTTCTTAAACATTCTTTAGATGTGTCAAAACGAATTTAGAACCTGTACCCAATTGCATATTTTCTTTCTGAAGCATATTCTATATCTAGAAAAATATATACAATATGAAGAATTTCTGTTGTTTTCCCATCTCTTTCTTCTCTCTGTCACCTTGTGGAGAGACTTGGCTATGCTTTTTGAACACAGATGGGAAAAAGAATATTTTTTTTCTTTACTTTCTGTTATAATCAGTTGGTACAAAAGACTGAATTTATATAGTTTTACATTTCTATTTTTCTTATTAATTTTAGGAGTAAATGACTATACAATTAATAACAGTAACTTTTTAAAAATTACAGTAATAAATGCTAAAAATATGCGATAATAACTCTTAAAAATATGCAGTAATAAATCTTAAAAATATGAAATAATAATTTTAAATATATGCAGTCAACTTCTGATTCTTTTCATATATTTCTACACTTTTGTTTTAGGTGAAACTTGGTTTGCTGATGCTTAGTTCTTTTCCTCTTGACAATTTCTCTTGGGAGATTCTTAGGCATTGGATGAAAATCTTTCGACATCTTGTTTGTTGGTGACAAAGTCGTCAACATCTACATTGACGAAAATGTTAGAAGTTTTCGTTCAACCATCATTTTTTATGTGAGGGAGGTGGTTTGGCTGCTTCGGATCTTAGGGAAATTTTATTGGGAGAAGGTACACGGTCGTGGGTAAGGAGCATGGTTGGCAAGAACCACACTATGGGGTGGCTTTGGGTGTCAAAAGTTATGCAGGTTCTTGGCTATCACGAAAAGGGTAGGCGATGTGTGGTTGAGGATTTGTATACTTGAGGGGATGGAAGCTCGCAATTGGTGGCAGATAGTATTTGAGGTATGTAGAGTTGTGGACTGGGTTTTTAGATCCCATTGTCTTTGTTGCTATTGGAGAGCTAGGCACCATACCAAGAGTTTCTCCGACTAGTTGCAGGCTTCCATGCATAACATGCAAGATTGTTCTTAATGTTTCTTCTTTGTCTGCAGCTATGGCTAATGACGACCCTTATAGTTTCTTTAAGGCTTCTCAAGATCTGAGGCAAGATTCTCCATTCCTTTTTATAATAGTGATGGAGGCCTTTAATGTACTGTTAATAAGAACAAAAGATCTCCAGTTGCTTGGGGGTTCAGTGGTGGGGGAGAGGGGAGATGCAGTGGAAATGGTTCATGTGTTCTTCGCTGAGACACGTTATCTTGTAAACCTAATTTTCATGCCTTATTGAATATTATATGTTTTCTTTTATGCTTTCAAGCTGTCTCGAGGCGTAAGATTAGCTTGAAACAGATTGACTCCGTCTTGATTGTGGAATGGAAAGATTTTGCCACTTCTTTCAGACTTTAGGGGTGCAAAGTTTCTATTCTCCCTTCAATTTACTTGGGACTACCACTTGGAGCTGAATTCAGGATGCCTCTATCCGCAACCCTGTTGTCACCAAGTTTCAGAATAGATTGGTGCGTGAAGAGGAATTTCCTCTCAAAACGAGGTAGGTGGACTCTTATTAAAAGCACACTTTTTCTCCCTGCTAGTGCAGCGAAGAAGCTGGAGTTCATTTAGTGTTATTTCCTTGGGGTGAGTTCGATAAGAGAAAAAGATTCTCCTTGGTTGTTTGAAATGTTGGAGAGCTTCCCTTTTAGAGGGGTGGTGGTGGGATCATGTCAGTGGTTGACGTTAACCAATCTTTTTTCAATAAGTGGCTGTAGAAATTTATTTAAATGAGTAAGGTAGTCTCTGACAGAGAGTGATGGGATAAACACATTGAAATTGAATTTTAAGATATCTAGGCTTCAATGTGGTGTAGGGTTTTCTACGAAAATCAACTTTAGGTGGGATTAGTTCCATGGTTGTACATGGAGAGTTGGGTTGGGCCAAAAGGTGAGGTTTTGATGGGATGAATGAAGTGAATGTGGAACACTTGAGCAGAATTGTCTCACGATCTATTATTTAGCTCATTGTAAGGAGGCTGCAGTGGTCGAATCATTCTCTTGTGCCTTTGGTAATGATGTTTGGATGGTTGATCTAGTCAGAAACTTCAATTTATGGGGGGTGAGTAAATACATCAATCAACTTAAGTTCTCTCCCTGTGTATGAGGTTGCACGGGGCCTTGGATGTGCTGGTTTGGAAGCCAAATTTTAAAGGTGTTTTTTCGGTGAAATTGTTTTACTTTCATTTGGCTAACATTGTTGTGAACAATGAGAAGGTTCATTAGAAGCTGATTTGGAAGATTAATACCTCCCCTAGTGTGGCTCTTTTTACTTGGAAGTAGCTAGGGGAAGTATACTTATCCTAGACAACCTGATTAAAAGAGAGAAGATTTTTGTGAATGTTGTGTTATTTTTGCACGAAAGCTGCAAAGTAAGGCAAGCATATTTTTCTCTGGTGTCCCTTTCTTTTTTTTTTCTATAGACAATGACGTAGGCCTTTTGGGAGTGGGTTGGGTCATGGCTGGTTTCATAGAAGATGAGATACAAACTTGGAGGGGCATCTATAGTTTTAAGTGTTATCTTAATTCTCATCCCCCTGACTATCTTATGGGTTATATGGAGGATACAAATAGAAGGATTTTTAAGGGTATAGAAGTTACTTTTGGTAGGCTTAAAGATTTGCAGTTGCAGACCCTAGACTTTTTAGTTAAAGAGCCATTTTCTTTTTTCTTCCAGGGATATTGGGGAGCTTATTAATAATCTGATAGCTCTTGAAAGTTTCTTTTTTATGACTCATACCGTCTTGGCGCCATATCAATATTCTACTTCTTTTTACTCTAAAAGAAGTTTCTTCCTAAATAGAAAATGGTGGGGACAACACATTTCATCTAGTGATTGGACACTGGTTTTTTTCTAGTAGATTTGAGTAGGCTTAAATATGTCTATATGATTATACTTGGAAATGCATAGGAAGATATCCAGTTATTTATTTATTGGAAATCTATAATTCTAATAAAAAAATTAAAAAAGTAGTAGTTCTGGTATTTAGTGCCTCAATTTTTCCTAAACAATGTGTTATTATGAATCTTTGCTTTCTGTTATTCACTTAAATTTTTTAGAAAATTCTATGTTTTAATTTTCCCATAAAATGAGGAGTAATGTGTTATATTATGAAGAGGTCTTTTTGTTAACCTTCCATAATTTATTCTCTGTTTTGACTTTTTCGCGAGTAGCTAGTCAGAATTTGTCATTGTACATAGAACTGTTGGCTTCTTTCCTTGTGTTGCTGGTAGATCTAGTCTGTGCCTGAGTGGGAGAAAGCTTATTTTTGGGTATTACAGTGTGTGCCTTATGAATTTGTGGTAAAGATATCAATCTATCTTCAACATGGCTTTATCACTTGACACCTTTTTCTGTTTATGGTTTCCTTCAAATCTGATCCTCTTATATCCATTGGCATCATGCAGATTATGGGGAACATTTCTGGCTGATGTTGTTATTCAGATGCTAGGAACTGATTATGCTAGGATTTTACGAGCAATTTATGCATTTGCACAGGTAACTGCACTATTATACTGTAGAAACCCTCCACTTTGTGTGATCTCCCTAATGACATGTTAGGTTCATTCTATCATAATTATCCCCGACATTCAATGAAGTGAAATTTCTGATCTCTTTGACTTAGTTGTGAAGTGATTTTGATGTATAGCAGTTTCCACAGTTACAGAAGTACTAGTAAACAAGGTAATGAACAGTGTTATTTTAGTAAGTTCTGAGGTAGGAAAAGGAGAGTTAATAGTGGCTGTGTGGTAGAGGTTGGCTGGTGCAAAAAGGTTGGTTTGAGCGGGACCCATGACAAGCTGGCGAGTAGGGCTGTGGCGGCTGTTCCGACTGAACATAAGGTAGCTGTCGGAGCTAAGCAGCCGGTGGTGATGATGACTGGTGTTATGGCTGGTCATGAAGGCTGTCCCTCTTTTAAGAATTTTCTTATTTCGACAATTAAAACAAAATATGATTTATGAAGAGTTTAGAGTTTTTTAACCTAAAATTTTGATAACATATGGAAGAATCAATATGTCTTTCATTAGGACTTCATCCATAAAGTGAATAGTAATGATATAAGAAAACATCATTAATTTACAAAGATCAAGATAATATTCTTTTACCCTAATGTACACTTCTTAGCAGTAGTATGACCGAGTGCCTGCTTCTGAAATATTAGTGGAACTTTGTGAACCTCCTATCTTATTTTATTTCCCGTGAGAGATCGTGGTTAAGTATAATCAAACCTGGAATACTGTCCAATTGCATTCCTCCAACACCTGATAGGAAAAAGTAAAGCTCCATCTAGTAAATGAAAAGTTTTTTATTTTCATTTCCTCAATAGTTATATTTGTAAGTAATAAGTAGGTAGTTGAAAATGAAACCAATGATCGAAATATGATGGCAAAATACGTTACGGTTTTCTTTGCTCTCGAGGACACTACATACATATTTTACACGTATAAACTATATAGATATGAGTTCGAAAGATATATTTGTATATAAAAAAGATCCTCTAATATTTGGCAAGTGTTGTTCTCTTGTGGTTTATACTTGATCATTGATGTCTATATTATATATAACGAAGTATGATGGTTATAATGTACATGACCTGTTTGAGCTGTTATTTTGCCTCAGATTCGCATCAATCGGACATACAGGCTGCCGTCTGAAGATGAGGTAGGAATTTAGCTACTTGGGTTCTTTGTTTTTTGTTTTTTTTTGTTTTTTTTAATGTGTTTAGATGAAAGAGATTCTTTTTGAACCATTTTCATATTGTATGCACATTTTGAAGGCAGTATGTAGATTTATATTTATGCGTATATCCATGGATAAATATTTAGGTTTTGCTGCTGCCCCTTCCCAACTTGAACATAAAATCAAATAAAACGTAAACAAAAATCAACCCTTTCCACATAATCACTCTACTCTTAAACAGCGGTTGAAGTGGTGTTTGTGATTTAATTTTAATACAATTTGGTTTGGATCTCTTTATACAATTCCCACAAAAATTAACTCTGATAATCTCAATTGAAAAACCATTTTAACTGGTGACTAACCACAATATCATTAAACCAATTCGGAGGATTTAGTTTGTTGGATTTTTTTTTTTGAAGGAATTTACATGCATTGTAATTATATTTGCTAAAAAGACTTTTTCCTTTATTTATTTAATATATATATAGGCTTTTATGGTTGAATTGGAGATATTTGTACTCTACTCCTGTTACACTTCTTGTGCGTTGCAACGGAAAATGAATGCCTAGATATTGTATGATCGATTTG